GCACACCGATCTTGGAAAAGTCTTCATACACTAAGAAGTCAACAGCTTCTGCTTCTCCAATTATGAATATCCACACATGCTCTCGTTTTGATTGAGCATACTTCCCAAAACAATCGATGTAGATCTTCTCAAAGGACGATTGGCGCCCATTTCTTCTCCAATCCATACAGAAGTCACATTTCAGCACATAGTCCCGCACTTTTATTGCCTTACCAGGTAAATAATATCGCCTGCGAAGCGCAAGCTAAGTTTTGCTCTTGCCTCTATGAACTTACGTCTCGTCCGCATAAGCTCACCGCTGATCCCAGCGGTTAGCGATTCCAGCACACAGAGTTTCCAACACATGCATTCCGCCTCGTCCTCAAAAAATTTGTGCGTCGTTCTTTTCAAAAGGAGCCCGTTTTGTACTTTTAAGTCTGTTGAGCCTTACGTATCCAATAGACCTTTAATATTGTTTCTAGGGACTTCGACATCTGCAAACACATGTTCTCATATCGTATCACAGCTTCGATGACCTGACGTTTCGTTATTTTGCGCTTGCGAAACGCGCGCGAGCCTTCAATAATTGCCGGGTGCCAGTGTCATTCCATCCATCTGTCGCTCACTCAAAATTTTAATTCGCCCTTTCCCATACGTTGGCATGCGCTTCCTCCGGCTGGCGAAATCATTACGAGCTGGGCCTGTCCGCGATCCTTCTGGATGGCACCTGTGCCCGGGTCCGGCGCGATAAGTCTCAGTAGCACCGGTGCAGTGTTGGTGCAGTTCGTGTTGCCCTAATCGTCTCCATGTAGCTCTTTTTTGGGAACTCCAGGAAATTATTCCTCCGGTTCCACCACAAATTCTTATAGTTGTCGACAAACTTACTAAAACTCCGAGTAAATAAATAAGTTAAGAGCCACTCCAAACTATTTGTCGTCAACAACTTTAATATTTTAATATTACTAAACAAACAAACATTCAACATTAACAAAAACTCCCTAACAACGACAAAATAACTCAACATAACGTTTTTTTTTGTTCTTTAGCGAAACTTTATCCAAATCTAGGGAGAGAGAAAACAAATCCTAGTACTAGCCAACTACAATTATATACACGCATTCTGGACAGTGGGCAAATATTTAAGCATCCGCCAAAATCTCAGTTTGTCAGATTGACTGATGAACGTTATACAAGAAATTCTACCTGGCGGGCTATTTGGCTTCACGGCCAGCATATCCAGCGTCATAAATAACATCTTACAAATCTACCCTTGTATCACACACATTTATCGCAATATAATTTTGTCGTTGCGGCTTTGGTAATCAGTCGCAAGCGCTTCGTCAACATGGGAACATGTCATCATCCGCGCGATTTAGAACGCCAACTCGTGCCACATAAAATATCAGATATGAGGATCCTAAGGTCAAGAGAACCCTTTTATGTGACTACATCGATTATTTTTATTGTTTTTAATTCAGCAGCGACTTCCACAAAGTCGCATAATCTTCAAATTCCATCTTCCATATTGTTACGGATAGACTTTCTTCCTTGGACCGGACATATGGAGAACACCTTGCAACCACAAAAGCGCTGTAATATTTGGGAGACTTTTCAGACTTTTTTCCCTCTGCCTGCTGCTTGGGGTGAAGAATAACTTCATGGATCGGACTCATTGGTTTAAAACCATCCTATGTCTCGCCCACTGCTGCACTTTTGTTCAGCGCCGTGAAAAAAAGACCGGGAGCCTTCTTGCCTTGTTGGATATCACTCTGGTGCTTCATGGACAACGTAGAATCTTCAGCGTGAATCCACTCTCTGCCGGAACCACTTATTGTTTTAATTTATTTCTTATTATATGACGTTTATTGAGTTGTTATTATTTTTGTGTCAGCGCAATAAATTTGATAAAATTTTTCTATTCTTGCTCTTTTAAAATTTTATATACGTAAGTTAATGAAGTCGGGTTATGTTTTATTATTTATTGGGAAACTGTACCATATTCGCTCTTACGAAACTCAGTGAATACAACGAATACAAATAATCTGCGTACGCCTTTCCAATGTTGGCCCACCAAGCCGTCTTATTCGAACGTAAGCCACACCCACGGTACATGTTCTACCCACAACACTAACCGAAAGCAACGGGACTGACGCCGACAGCGGCCGAAGAAGACGTGCGAAACCCACGTATAGAGCCGGAAATAATATCGCCTTTATCCCTTTATGAACTTACGTCTCGTACTTAGCAGCCTTAAACTCTAGTCTGGAATCCCAGTAGATCCTCCGGGGTCACTTCACCCTCTTCAATGCTCTAGCACAACGTGTCAGCGACAATGACATTCTCCCGCTTAAGACTTTAAGAATCATGAGCCCCTGCAGGCTCGCGTGATTTGTAATTACTGTTAACGGCATCTTCTCCAAATATGGCCGTAATTGAGAATTCCTTCTCTGTCATCGTATAGTTTAACTCGTGTTTTTTAAGTTTAGTCAAAAAGCACGCGATTGGACTCTCTTGCGCCTCGTCCAGCTGAACAAGCACGCTTCCAACCCGAAGTGAGGTGCGTCGCACTGAAGCGACAATATAGATTGCTGTACCTAGGAAACTTCTCAGCTCTTAAACAATTCTCGGATTCGGGATGTTTCGAATCGACAAATTCAAAACAGCTAACATTAATCAACATGCGCACGAACAGCTCATTCAATAATGGAGGCCACCGCCAATGGAGCACTGCTGAACCAAGAATAAGAAAGACGTTGTAGTCGGGAGCTCCCGACAACGGGATACCTTGAACCCTCTTCTTCCAACATCAAATGCATATATATATTCTATTTTAGAAGCTATATTGCCCAAAAAACAGGATATCGATATCGATTTTTATCGATTGCTTGGAAACGGAGTAAGTTATTGATTATCGGAAACAAACTCGATCTGTTCAGGCACTAGGAGCACCTACGTCTATGATTTCTCTAGGTCTTACAGGTTCTGAGATTCTTGCGTTCATACATACGGACGGACGGACGGACAGACAGACTGACGGACATGGCTAGATCGACTCGGCTATTGATGCTGATCAAGAGTATATATACTTTATGGGGTCGGAGATACTTCCTTCTGCCTGTTGTATACATTTGGATTTTGAACAAATACAATATACCCTTATACCCATTTTTAATGGGTTCAGGGAAAAAGTAACGAAAAGTAACGAAAAAAATTAAAGGCATTAAAAGAACAAGTGAAAGTGTGCGATTACAAAATACACCTGTGATAATGGTATAGAAACCAGCCAAAATTGTAAGTGATGTTATTTGTAACGCAACCTTAGACATCGTGAGGTCCAAACACCATCTGATGGCAACTGAGAATATTTTATTTCTTGTCGGAAGGCTGTAATTGAAGAAGTTTTTAAGAAAAATTGGAGGTTCACCAAACGCAACTCTAGCAACTTTCTGATTTGTTAAACTTTAACGCGGACAAAACAATCATTTGCGTTATCCAGCAACGGCTAGGTACAATGAAGCAGTGAGCATTCTTAGAGTATTATCATGACATTAAAAGAAAACGTCGCTACTAATAAATTAAACAGAAAGCTTATTCTGTGTCGCACCCAGGGGTTGCGACAAGGTAGCTCTCAGAGTTGTTCATCAGAAAACTTTGAGGAATTCGCACAGCGTTTCTTCAAAAAAAAATTCTGCGTTTTCATGGAAATCAGCTATAAGTAAAAGTAAGTAAGTATAAGCTAAAGTAAAAGTAATCAGGCTTAGCATAATAATGTATCGAGTCCGTCGAGAAAAGTCAATGTGCAAATACAACAGAATCAAGGCAAAAGGTAGAAAGTGAGCCACATTTCCCTGGGCGTATCAAATTTTGAGGGTCGAATCTGCCAAAACATCAGTCAACGTATATAAAAAAAAAATCGCACAATTTTTTAGGGAGACTGCAACAGTACATCACGCGCACAGTAGCATGACTAAGTGTTTAATTATTAATAGACACGGGAACCTATAAGAATATCATGAGACCATTGCCAGTACTCGCATATTTGTGTCCTGTTTAAAGTATACGAAGATCGAACAAAAATGCAGGATACACGTTTTCATGGGAGTCAATTTATTAAAAAAATGCAAAAGGTAAAATCGATACGGCCTTGGTTCCGAACATAGATAGACATGCAAACATCAGACAGCATACTTGCGGGATTTTATAGTGGTAATACCCTAGCAGTCACAAATTCCGTCTTGACGTCCTATTCGACGTCCTCCGAACTAACGGCACGCGACACCTAAGCTCGTTGTTTACTTACAGAAAGCGTCGCCCACTGCCGATCGCAGCCACCTGGAACCCATTACGATTGCCTTAGACATGGTAATTACCATCAACAACCACCCGGTTACGATAAACGTCGACAATAGCCCAGAGGTAGTTGTTACGGACACTATTCTTGCGACCTCAGTGTTGGTAAATGGCACCAAGTTCATCAGGAGCAAATGCCCTGGAGTCGTACCCACGTCGTTGCTAGACATTACCAAACACGGTCCAGTATTCAGTCTCCATCTTCTACTGTGGCTAAACGAGCATGTCATCCAGCAGAAGACGACGTTGCTTCTTGCTTCATTAATCATTTTTGTGTACATCGACAGCCCAATCATAATCTAGCAATGCATACGCAAAAGGCGGGAAACCCAAGAGATACAGGAGGTGATGGCAACATTTGTCTCGGCCGAGGAGGCCCACGTAGTGCAACTGGGTAGACAGCTTTGTTGAAACTGTCCGCAGACTCTAGCAACAGCTATTATCTATTATCTATAGTATTAAGTTCAGTTTTAACATCCACTAGTGCACGTATGTGTGGTGCAATAAACATCTCGTCACCTAAATAGTTCTTTATTTTATTGTCCGCTATCAATCAACAGTCAATAATACTACCGCTAACGCGCAGCTAATTATTAATGTACACTCTCCTTTCACCAGGAAAACCAAGTGTTATTTCATATATATATACTCAAATTAAAATGTGCTTAATATTTTTTTTTTTATTTAAATTCATCAACAAAAGCGTTCTTTAACTCAGCAATAAAATCATCATCATCATGGTATTTATTGAGCTTCACATCATTTGCAATGCGGTCCGCATTATTGTCCTGATGAAAATCGTCTGCAAACGATTTTGAACACACTTTTATTATTTTACCGTCATCATGGGTAGTTGGTAAAATGTCATTGAATGCTGCATTATTCGTATTGTTTTCATTTTCACCATGCGTATTGTCTGCAGTTTCATCATTATTTTCTTGAATCTGAAGGGACGTAAGATTATTTTCTGATTTATTTATTTGGATATTTGCATAAGTGTCCTTATTTTGTTGAGTGTTTATTGGATTTTCATAAACAAATTTTGAATAATGTTGTATACTGTCTTGTGTATCCACCTTCAAATTAATGTTTTCTCTCTGAGGGTGTACTGTTTTTTCAACTGAAGCGATCAATGATTTATAGCTAACGCGTAAATCAGAGCTTGGATCCTTTTTTAAAGATTCTTGAAGTACGTACAAAATGATGTCCGCCGGAACATGGCAGGGAATATTCCTCAATTTAAAGAAGATAAATAATGTCTTGTATAGCTCAAGGCGGCAGTCCCACTCCTTGTAAGGATTTTGTATTCTCATACTATTCTCAAATATTTGAACACTAATTTCCAATAAATTAGTTAAGATAACCTGTAAATAAAAAATCATATTTGTAAATTTTTATTTACTTTAAAATGTACATTTTCGTTTGCTTGATCTCTTTTGCACGATAATATCGTACGTGAACTCTTATTGATTAGATTTGTGTATGCATAGCGAGTCGGTCGATTGCGCTTGCAAATATTTTTTGTGCCTTCAGTTTTTAAAAAATCAATGGTCACTTTATTTAACGTAATATTACATATAAAATTAACTAAAAAATGTTTCATATTCTCGCGCCGTTGATGACACACAAGATTTTATCCAACCACTGCGTCATTGGCATGCTTACTTTTCTATAAACATGATTTAGCAAGGAATGGGCAAAACATCTTCATACTTATTACAGTAACATTTTATTAAGCATTATGTAAGCATTAAGTATTTTTAAAACACAAGAAATAAAATGCTTCATAATCGTGAAAAACGTCTGAATTAAACTTTTTTGTGCCCCATCCAAATCGGCTTTAAAAATCATATTCAGAGATTTCTTTGAAAATTCATTTGTGACATGTTTCACACTTTGCTCAAAATGTACTCTTTTTGAATTATAAATGCGGGTCACAGTTTGAATTGGCAATGTTTCGGGTGTTAACTCATTCGCAAAATTTCATGCTTCAGAGTTTTCGAAAAATGCACGGCGCCTCAAAGGAAAGTGCGGGTCAACGATTTAAAAGTTTCGTCCGATTGGTCTTTAATTTACTTTCAAAGCCCTTCTAAAGAGCCCTTCTGCAAGTTCCATTCGCAGCTGTGGTAAATTGGCGGAAAGCAGTTGTATGACAGTTTCTCTTTTACTATCCGATCAACTTCACAATCATGAATAGTCTTAGACGTGTTTACGACTTTTCGCAAAAAAAAAAAAAACAGTACTTGGTTGATAAATGCGATCTCACTAATTAAGAAAGCAATACTCTAAAACTAAATGAATACGTGCTTCAGTGATTCAGGGTAATACCCGCTAGTTTAGTATATTTCCTTTATAACTTTACCTTACGTGTATTAACTGCAAGAAAAATCAAAATCATAACTCAGATGTATTATATAATTTTCAAGTTTTTGTTTTCGAAAATTACATTATACTTTTGTAATTATAAATTGCTTACCTTTAAAAGTTGCGGCTTTAATAGAAAACCAACTGCCTCAAGAACTTTTTGAATGCATTGTAAGGCTTGCTTACAAAGAGAACCTTTGTTTTTATTCATAATAGATCCGCTTTCAAAATATGGCTCCGATATTATGTGATTGTTCTTTTTACATTTTCTTTTGGGGGAATTTTTTTGTTGAAATATGGACTACAATGTTAAAAGCTTTTAAATTGTAAAAACCAAATAAAAATACTTATATTTACCAGCAAATAAATATCTGTTCGACGTATTATTATATCTTCCAATAGATCATTAACAAAATATTCTGCTATTAAATCGCATCCGCTTCCTTCAGCAAAAGTAGAAAGCCAAGAAGTTGTTACTTTGTATATCTGTATGCGTAAGTTACTAGAAGAAATATAAGTAATTAACATACTAGTGTTTGGTCAAAATAGCTTAATATACAAAAAAAAAAAAAAACAAGTAAGAGGTTCTAGTCGGGAGCTCCCTACTAGGGGATACCCTGAACCCTCTTCTTCCAACATCAAATATATATATATATATTCTATTTTAAAAACTATATGTCAAGTTTGGTGACTCTAGGTCTTATTATTTACCAAAATTGCTCAAAAAACAGGATATCGATATCGATTTTTATCGATTGCTTGGAAACGGAGTAAGTTATCGATTATTGGCAACAAACTCGATCTGCGCAGACACTAGGAGCACTTACATCTCTAGTCTCTAGCTCTTATAGGTTCTGAGATCATTCTGTTCATACGTACAAGATCAAGAATGTATATACTTTATGGAGTCGGAGATGCTTCCTTTTGCCTGTTACATACATTTGGATTTTGCACCAATACAATATACCCTTATACCCACTTTTAATGAGTTCAGGGTATAAAAATGGTTCAAAAGAGAACTTAATTTTCAACCGATCTTTCCAATGGCTGTATATTGTATTCCGTTATTGATACAAATTTACATATGTATGGGAAGGTTAGTGAATTCACAAATCCGATTTAGGTCAAGAGATTTTCATAATCGAAAATGTTTATTACACCAGAACTTATTTTCCGACAGATGGCCCTTGCCAAATTTGGCCGTCATATCTTGATAAACAGCAAGGTGTTCCATATAAGCACCTACTTTCAAACGATGGGAGCTACATGGCTTAGGGGTACGATCCGGCAATGGGAAGACGGACCTTTGCAAAGCTTCATAAATATAACTAGAAAACCAAGAGATTAGTTCGTAGATAACTTGATGTAAAATACATACATACAAATGGGAGATGCGTCCTTCTATGCGTTACACATTTTATGACAAATTTATTATACCTTTTACAAGAGTATAAAAAGATTGTGTAGAAAAACAGAATAATCCTATACGTTGCTAATTTATTGACAATATTTTAATACCCTCTATATGGGTGTTGATAGTAATTCGATCTTCTGCATATGCGGGCTGATTGGCTGTCTTCTGCACATGCTCAGTGACCGCTGATGAACAACACGAGGCACTAAGTTACTATTCTCACATGCTGCTGTCGCGCCCCAGTGCTTCATAATTTTTTTAGAGAACATTATAAATTCGTTAATAAGAACAAACATACCAATCCAGACGATCAGGTATTATATAACAATACCTAACAATCGGTATCGTTAAATTTATACAAACGTTAAAGATAAAAATTTGTTTTTACTACTAATGTTGTACTCGTAACTGCCATCAACGGATTACTTGTAATCGCCTAATACTCTACAGCCATAGTTAATATAAGATCTGAATCGAAAAATTACGAAACTCACATATCAACACATTCACACAACACATGCTGTGAATTGTGTTGATTCTACGTATATCAGAAAAATTGATATAGAGAAATTCTCTCCTTTTGTGAAAGCTGTCACGGGCTATGCCAATGTCTTCTTGACTAATTTCTGTGTTTCTGAACCGATCTTAAAGAAAATCTTGAGTAATTCTTACTGGGGCATAGAATATCCACATGTTCGCAACAGAGGCTTATAGCCTCTGTCCACTGAACACATTTCTGACCCATTTCAGAAAATGTCACATTTTTGACAAATGTGTGAAATGCGCCCTGTACGTTTCCCCACAAGAAAAAGCATTTCACACATCTTTCAAAAAAGGATGATTCTTTAGAAATGTGTATATTCGCCACGAAGATTTCGTGTGTTTTGCGATGATTAATCGAGATTTCTATCGATGTTGTGAAAAATGGTAAAGTATCAAAAAGATAAACAGCTGATATATCAACGAAGGCAAGCGGAAAGCGGTTTTTAAAATTTAAACATGGCGAAATCTCAAAAAAAAGATTACCTAAAATGGACCCCTTACTTCGGCAGCGCAATTTTTGAGTTTTGGAAGAAAAATTTTGCGGCGCCTATGTAAATTAAAGAAAATCGATCAGCTGTTTTTTAAAGAAGCGGTAGAACACCAATATGGGAATTTTAAAAATTGGACATTTCTTAAACCTGTGGACAGAGGCTATTAAAAGTGTGGCCTCAGACGGACACAACATTGTTAGATCTGCTCGGACATTGACGCTTAATAAAAAATATATGTATGAATGCTATATATATTTGCATAAGAACCCATATACTAAATTTCCAATGAGTAAGAAACAACGTATTTTTTCCTATTTTCTAAAAGGAGGATCTGGCATTTCGATCAATACTGGGCTATTTTTCGATAAACAAGATAATTTAACATAACCTGATTGTAAAGAGAAAGAGAAAGTTCTCAGTTGAGAGTGATTGACGTGTTTTACTTGTGCTCCAAGATTTTTATATATTTTTGCGCTTTAATCCTGCTTTTTATTTCAAAATTTTGCATTTTTCGGTGCTTTATTTAAAAATCTGTTAATTATTGCATTTATAAAACGCGGCGTCAGTTCCGTGTTGTTGTTATTGCCTGTTTTGATTCTTTTGCTTTGGTGTTCCCCTGTGCATACACTTGTTTGTGCGTGTGTTCGCTTCGCTGCATACTTTCTGCTTGTGCATCGCGCTCTCGCAAATTTTTTCTATTGCTTTTCGCTCCAAACAATTTTGTTGTGTACAAATAATTGTTTTTTGAGTGTTTACTTGCTCTATCTTGTGCACCGTTTTCGTTTTGTCTGCGCTCTCGCTCTGCCAAGAAGGGCTGCGGTGGCTTGCATCGACAAGCAAATTGATTTCTCCAGAATGTATAATTCTGTATAATTCTGTGAGAAATCAATTCTTAAAATTAAATAATGTGGCTAAGCAGCTCTCGAGTAATTTTGACTCGAGTTTCGAGTTGCTTGGCAAATAAAAATTTGAGTCCCCAACCAATCGTCGGTTGGAGCCTCAACTTTTGCAATTGCCCTCTACGTCTGTTCAGACACCTACGACTTTCTTGTCCCTTCCTAGCAACTTGGATGTATCTCCAATGTTGTCTTTATCGCCTTCTCCAAGCGACTGTCCAATTACTCCTGTTTCAACCCCTGTACTAGTCCCAGTAGAGCCCGTACCTGATCCCGTCCCATTTAATCAAACTGCTTCAGCCCCGTCAGCTCCTGGCCGCAAAAGTAGACCTGCGCGCAATCTTGCCCAGATTGTTAAAAACAATCATTGTGCCTCTTTAGCTCCTCCAACTTCTGTATTACCTACAGCCCCATCAGTGCCTACTGTAACGGTAGTTGCCCCTCGTAGGCATGTGTCTCGACTTTCGTCGGACACCACTTCTGAGTCATTGGCAGCCTATATTGCTAGCAAATCTTCTGCTAGCGTGTCAATAACCAAATTTAATTTCTCCACCCCTCGTGAAATATCATCATTCAAAATAAATGTTTCTCATGATATGTTCCCAATCATTTGTGATCCCAAATTTTGGCCTCCACACATGATTGTTCACGAGTTTAAGCCTAAAAAGCGTAACCAGCCTGCCACCCTTCCAGTCCCTTCAATACAGGGTGCCATTTCTGCCCAAAAAACTAGCTTCAAATGTCGGAGGTCTCATTTCAAAGCTTAAAAATCTTTACATGGCCAGCAGTTCCTTCGTTTCGGATATAATAGCATTTTCAGAAACATGGTTAAACTCAACCATATCTCATTTTGAGATTTTACCGAATAACTTTATTTTGTATAGAAATGATCGGCCGACTCGAGGTGGTGGGGTGTTAATTGCCGTTAAAGCCACCAGCCTGAACTATTCTGTTTTAGTACGCCTACTGAGGCCGAGATTGTCTCAGTTAAGGTGTCTTTTCCTACACGGAATTTCTATGTAACATGCTCATATGTCCCACCTTCTTCTGATAATCAAGTTTATATGAATCATATTACTTGTATTAAAGAAGTTTCTTCACACGTGCGTGATAATGACCTATTAATGGTGTTGCGTGATTTTAATTTGCCGAACATCTCTTGGTCATTATTCACTGCTGAAAATTATCTAGTGCCCTCAGCACGGCACGATTTTATAGACTGCGTGCTTGATCTTTCGTTGTTTCAAATCAATTCAATTTCTAATCATATGAACCTTGACCTTGTGTTTGTTAACGACTACCTTATTTCTAATGTGTCGAGGTCCCCTCCTTTATCTCTTCCTGAGGATGTCTATCATTCTACTTTAGAGATTGCAATGCTAAATTGTAATCCTTTCATTTCGTGCTCATCAGCCAATAGCCCCCGCTATTGTTTTCGCAAAGAAAATTATTCTTTGCTGAATCAGCTTATTTATGCAACTGATTGGTCTTTCTTATATGACTCAGTTGATATGAATACAGCCATTAATTTTTTTATTACACCCTAAACTCCCTCTTAAATGTGTGTATTCCTAAGTCAGCTCCTTCGACTACTTTTTCAAAACCACCCTGGTTTACTCCCAGATTATCACATCTAAAAAATGTAAAATCCAAATATTTTAAGAAGTTTAAGAAGTCTGCTTTGTGTACAGACTTGGCTAAATAGCCAAGTCCATAGTCCATGGATTCCATAGCCAAGTCGAACTTCTTTCTTCTTAAATCTCAATGCTATGAGAATTATCTAACTCGTTGTAAAAGGCAATTCGCCCAAAATCCGAGACAGTTTTATAATTTTGAAACTTGAAGCGTAAATCTTCAAGTTTGTCATCTTCTTTCTCTCTTAGGATGGATAAAGCTAGCAATGACACTGATTCTGCTAACCTCTTTGCTAATTTTTTCCAATCAACTTACTCTTCAGCCTGTCCTAATACTAATTCTTACCCTTATACTATTTCTTCCGATAGTTCTATACCTCCCCTCATTATTACACACTCCTCTCTCCTGTTAGTTATACACTCTTTAAAATCTTCTTACTCTCCTGGGCCGGACAATATTTCTAGTTCTCTACTCAAGGAGTGTAGTTCTTCCCTTTTTTATCCATTGCTAAAGCTTTTTAATC